GACCCGCGGCCCCCGGACACTGCGCCTGCGCGCACTTGCCGGAGTGTTTGAAGATTTCAGCGCACGGGGCCTCGGCCCCCCAAGCTCTCCCCAGCGCGCCCCCACCCCGCCTTCTCTATCTTCCCAGACTTTGGGTACCCTGCCTCAGGGCCTCGGGGACGGGGTTCCTGGGACCGGCTGTGAAGCCAGGCAGGAGTACCTACTGAATGCTGGACCCTTGGCAAATCTCATTCTCTCCCCACCACCCAGGAGATGCGGGTGTCATTCCCATTTTACAGAAAAGAAAACTGATTCTAAGAAGTGAAATATCATGCTCAAGATCACAAAGCTAGCGCCTGGCTGGTGTGGCTCAGGAAGGAGGTCACAGTTTGATTCCGATCAGGGCACATGCCGGGGTTGCGGGCTCGATCCCCAATGTGGGGCATACAGGAGGCAGCTGATCGATGATTTCTCTCTCTCCCTCTCCCTTCCTTTCTGAAATCAATAAAATAAATAAAATAAAATATCACACAGCTAGGAAAGGCAGAACTAGGAATCCAGGGAAAGGCCTGGAGTTGCTCTCTCCTCCCTCCTCCTCTCCTGTTCCCTAATGTCTGACAGTGGCTGGCCTGTTCTCTCCCTTCCCCAGGCCCCAGGCCATACCTGGCTCTAACTAACCCCACCTCTGTCCTAATTGCCCCTGACCCTGAGGGAGACAACCACAATGCCTGGGGTGGGGGTGCTGCCAAGGCCCCACCATATGCAGCAGACTTCAGGACATACGGGTTCCATCTCTGGCCTTGCTACAACTTGCTGGGTGAACTTGAATGAGAACCTGTCATCTCTATAACCTCCATTTCCCCATCTATAAAATAAGCCTCTGCAGGCCCTTCCAGCTGACCCTGAATGTGTCTGCCACTGGACACTGGGGGCAGGGCTGGGGCCTCAGCAACCCCTTCCCAGACAGATGCTGGGAAAGCAGCAATTCCTTCCTGAGCTGTGGCCATGTCAATACCAGCTGCTCTGGACCCTGCAGAAGTAGGGCTGCCCACCAGCTCAGTGCCCAACCTCTCCTCATCCGGAAGGAGCTGCTGGCAACTGCCACCACCCTCCATCTCCAGAACCACGGCCCCTGGAAGGAAGGCACTATGCCTTCCTTTCCCCCAGACCTGGCCCTGGGTCAGGTTGGAGCCCGGGGAGCCAGTGGGAACTCCAGAGATGTGTGTTCCAGACATGGTGTAGCTTTGTTTTTAATAATTAACAGCAGCAAATATTGATTTATGCAGGCACTTCCAGGCCTGAGCGCTTCCGGGCACCCAGCAAAAAGCAACCAGAGAAACATCCATTCCCACACTGGGAGGAGGCAAGACCTGCTCGTATCACCGGAGATGCCTGTGTGCCAGGTGGAGTGGAGGGGGTGGGGGAAGGGTGCAGCAGCTGTATGTGTGTGTGTGACTGGGACAGGATGTGACTGTGTGTACCTGGACATCCTGGGTATGTGCATTTGTGCATATGTATCTGTACATGCTTGCATGTGTACATGTGCAAGTTTCAGCACATATGTGCAGACACATAATTGTGTCCACGTGCATACATGCAGGTAGGCTGTGTGCAGATATCTGTGCAGATTTCGGAATCCCCGAGTGAAGAAACCCCTATAAGGGGGCAGGTAGGAAGGTCCTGGGTATCTCAAGTGTGGCTTCTCAATGAAGAGAGTCCCTCCTGGGTGTTCTATCCTACCCTGGGAACATAATGCTGGTAACAAACAGTTCAGCTTCCTGATTTCTACTTTCCAAAGTTACTTTCAGGGTTATCACTCAATTGCAAGCTGGCAAGGTGGGTAGAGAAGGAAGTGTCACCTCTATCTTACCGATAAGGAAACGGAGGCCCAGAGAGGGGCAGGGATTTGCCCACTGGCACGGGGAGGCCTCCTGCCCCTCAAACTGGCTCCATCAACATTATAAATGTGTGCAGAGTTAGGAGTGCTGGGCGAGGGGGGTGGACACTCGGTCACCGGCCTGGTTCCCTCAGCTCCACTACTGGTTTGCTGGGGATCCAGACGAATCACTCAATCTCTCTGGACCCTGGTTTCCTCCTGTTGAAGGAAGATGACCCACAGACTGTGATCCACTTGATTCTGGGGTAGGAGTGGATTGTCAGGAGCCTCCCATCTGGGCTGTGTTGGCACAAACGGAGGTTTCTAGACAGACTGGGTGGAGGCCAGGAAACCCAAGGGAGGCATCTCAGGACTTATCCAAGAAGGCCAGCCTCGGGCTGTCTGAGCGGGCAGGACTCGGGGGATGGGCTGTTCCAACCCTCATTTTCCTGATGGAAGACTGAGGCCCAGGAAGAGAAGGGATAGTCCCAGGGCACACAGCGTCGGTGAGAACACAGGCCTCCTCCCAGATGCTCACTCCCGAACCCAGCTGCCACCGGGTCACTCCCTTCCTGCCGAGCCCCAGGATCCACATGGCCCGTCTTGAGCTGTTGCCCGGGCACAGAAAGTAGGACAGGGTCCCCCTGATACTGTCCAGAGGACCCCCCACTTGGGACTCTCTTGGTGGTGGTGGTCCCCCACAGGGACACCATTCCTTGGCCATCTGCTCTCCCAGCCCAGGAGAGGAACATGGCCCTCCCTTGTTCCCAGAGTGCTTGGAGAGGAGCTTGGAGATCCTGCCTCTGCTATTTCCTGGCTGTGTGACCTTGGGAAAACCACTTCACCTCTCTGAGCATCTGGATCCTCATCTGGATAATGCCTGCCACCCGAGGTTTAGTGAAAGGACGAAGAGGCGTGATGCTTGTGGACATGCTTGAGAACTGCGAAATGTACTGCAGTACAGGGTTATGATCCTTTGCATCAGAGAGGCCACAAGACCAGGCCCTCTGGTCAGATAGCCCTGATGCCATAACATCCTACCTGTGTGTCTTTGAATGAGTAACTTAACCTCTCTGAGCCTTGATTTTCTCATCTGCAAAACGGGACTAATAATAGAAGCTAGCACAATTTACAATTTGAGGATGAAATGAAATACTGTATGTAGAGCATTAAGTACCCACGTGGCCCACAGTAAATCTCAAGCAATGCTAGCCTTTATTACTGATATTTGACACTCTGCAAAAGTTTAATTCTTTCTCTCTAATCTGGACTCTGGCTCCTTGAGGGCAGGGTCTGTGTCTGGTTGATTACTGGCCGCTTGGCACCCAGCACAAAGTCTGACACAAATCAGGTACTGGGTGAACACTTGATTGTCATGCCCCCCCGCCCGCCGCCGCAGGGATGAGGAGTGGTAGCCTGAACATTTTACCTCTGTCCAGTGCTCATGTTAGGCATCTCTCAGCCCTGGGGCCTCCAGACCAGGGCAGTGGGGCGGGGGCACTCACCTTTGGGGAGAGCGAAGCAGCGTGTGGGGAGACTAAGTCCACTCTCGGCAGGTCTAGAGCCTGGGGGAAGCGCTGGTTCTGCCCATCACTCCTCCTGGAAGAGAAGAGGAGTCTGAGGTCAGGGAGAGCCTCCAGTTGGGAGATTTGTGAACTTTGGGAGGAAGAGTCAGCCTCCAAGTTGGGGGACGTGAGGGGACACAGATTCCATGGAGGAGTGGGTCCTGGGTTGCCCCGGAGGAGGAAGAGGGAGCTTGCTGAGCACGGCTGCTAAACAGGCTCTCCTTCGCCGGAGACCAGAGATGTGCACAGGGTCTCTCCCCAAATACTCCACTGGGCCTCCCTCACACATACTCCAGCCAAGAGGATGGCCACAGCCCATTCTGAAGATGGGTAGACTGAGGCAGTGGGGGTTGCTGTAGATGGCTGAGCCCAGACCTCTGGTGTTTTTTTTTAAATATATTTTATTGATTTTTTTTACAGAGAGGAAGGGAGAGGGATAGAGAGTTAGAAACATCGATGAGAGAGAAACATCAATCAGCTGCCTCCTGCACACTCCCCACTGGGGATGTGCCCGCAACCAAGGTACATGCCCTTGACCGGAATCGAACCCGGGACCCTTGAGTCCGCAGAGACCTCTGGTTTAAGCAGGATGCTCCAGCCTCTACAGACCCCTTCCTGAGCCTCAGGGAGACAACAGCCTTAGGACTGAGAGGCCACTGGGCTATTGTTATTGACAATAACATTACCCGACTCTCATTGGGCCTACAGGGTGCCAGGCCTGTGCCAAGCCCGGCTCCCCGGCCCGAAGGCACAGACTGCTCACCACACTGGTATTCCCACTCGACAGACCAGGACCCAGAGGCATGTGGAGGTCACACAGCTGGTCAGCAGCAGAGCCAGCATCTGAGGCCTAACCGACGGCAAGCCCGAACTCTGTGCCCACACCACGCCCTTCCCCGAGGAAAGGAAACGGGTCTGGTGAGGGTGAAGTCAGCGCCGTCATCCTAGAAAGCCTGCTGAGGAGGCCGCCTCCAGGGCCAGTGCTTCCTGGGACCCAGGGAGCCCAGGGCTGGGGGAGCAGCCTGGCTTCCGCTGGCTGCCGAGGGCCACCCTGACGTGGCTGTACCCACGCCCATCCACCAAGAGGATGTGTCATTCAGCCGCCAGGTGACCCTCAGCAGCACACAGCTGCTTGAGTCAGGTGAAGCTGGGACCGCCACACCCGAGAGGGGTGAGCCTGCAGGAACCTGGCCCAGGAAGAGACCCTGAGGGACTCCGGGCCCCCCTGCTGACTCCCCTCAGCACACCTAGTCTAGCAGGAGAAGCGGCCCAGAGGAACGGTATTTGACACTCTGCATAAGTTTAATCCTTTCTCTCTAATCTGGACTCTGGCTCCCTGAGGGCAGGGCCTGTGTCTGGTTGGTTACTGGCCGCTTGGCACCCAGCACAAAGTCTGGCACGAATCAGGTACTGGGTGAACACTTGATGGTCATGATAACAACAACAGCCCCATTTATAGGCTTTTACTCTGTTCCGGGTATTTCGTATGAAACGCTTTATGGGCACTTTTCCATTTAATCCTCACAATAGCCCTGTGAAGTGGGTACTGTCGTCATACCCAGTTTACAGATGAGGAAACTGATGGTGACATTGATGATGAAGAAAATGAAGAATCGTTGTGCCCTAGACAGTGTTGTTGGTTGGAGCATCAACCCATACACCAAAAAGTGGTGGGTTCCATTCCTGGTCAGGGCACATACCCAGGTTGTGGGTTCAATCCCCCATCGGGGTGCATGCTGCAGCTGCCTGTCCACCTCCTGGGGGTGCGTCTTAAAAGAAAGGTCTTGACCCAGAAGGATGGATATGGCGAGAGTGGCATTTCCAGCCTGTGGCACCAGTGAGGGGAGGTATTCCCAGGCACTCACCTGCTGTGTGACCCTAAGTGCCACACTCCTCTCAGCCTCAGTTTCCAAAAAAAAAATCATCATAGAGCCTGGGCAGCTACTATCCACTCAACAAATTCTTGGCTATTCATTCATTCATGGTAAACTCTGGCTCCCCGAGTTAGGATCTCATTAAGTATTTGCTGAGTCGTTGAATGGCTCAATGAGGGTTGGCAATAGGGAGGTATTGAAGGTTTGTGGACAGGGAAACAGCCCAAACACAGGCTCCTATAGATTGCAAGATGTGCAGACATGGGGAGAGACTGGAGACGAGGGGCTAGAGCAGTGGTTCTCAACCTGTGGGTCGTGACCCCTTTGGGGGTCGAACGACCCTTTCACAGGGGTCGCCTAAGACCATTGGAAAACACATATATAATTACATATTGTTTTTGTGATTAATCACTATGCTTTAATTATGTTCAATTTGTAACAATGAAAATTCATCCTGCATATCAGATATTTACATTACGATTCATAACAGTAGCAAAATGACAGTTATGAAGTAGCAACGAAAATAATTTTATGGTTGGAGGTCACCACAACATGAGGAACTGTATTAAAGGGTCGCGGCATTAGGAAGGTTGAGAACCACTGGGCTAGAGAGAGGCCTATAGAAATGGTCCAGGCAAGTCCCATTGTGGCTGCCGTGGGGACTCTTTATTGAGACCTACTGTGTGCTCTAACTGTGTCAAGCATATTATACCCCCACTACAGTGCTACAAGATTGGCATTATTCATCCCCATTTTTACCGATGGGAGAAAATGAGGCTCAGAGAGGTGAAGCTACTTCCCCTAGCCAGTGGGTGACAGAGCCAGAATTTAAAGCTCATGCCCTTGACGGAGCAGGGCCAGTGGGACAGAGAGGAGAGGGTGTGCAGGGGCCAGGAAGTCCTGGGTTGAAGCCCAGGTGAGGCTGGCCCCCTTGGTGCTGGGACCACCGACTTGGCGTGGCCCTGGCTGCTGAGTGGAGGTTGTTGGCCATGATGGAGCTACTCGGGTGGTGTCCTCCTGTCTGTCCCCCGCCGTGCCACTGTAGGTCAGCCTGGCAGCAGCTCCCTAACATGGTCCCCTTCCAGAACGCTCTCAGCTTCAGTCTCCCCATGCCCGGGTGCCCATCTCAGTCAGGACTGTTCACGTGGGCACAGGACTAGGGAACTCTCCAAAGACCAGGGGGCTCTGGCTTCCATCCAGGGCCCAGCCTCGAGGCCCTCGGCTCTCCAGGTCTTGGCTGGCCAGAGTCCTGCTCCTCACAAGCAATGCCCAGCCCTTCCCCTCCCCCTCCCTCCCCCCTCCCCCAGGTAATTCTACCTAAAAGGTCATGCTTAGGTCCTAAAGGGCAGGGGAGGGAAAGGAATCCAGGATGAGGACAGCAGGAAGTCGGAGGCCCTGGGCCCTGCCTATCCCCACCAGCCCAGCTGAGGGCTAGAAGGGCTATAAGAACAAAAGCCATAGCTTCCCTGTGCCTTGCATGACCTTATTCAACCCTCAGAGCTTCCCCAGGAGACAGGCACTCAGAAACGGGCCTCCCTCACACATACTCCAGCCAAGAGGATGTAAGAACAAAAGCCATAGCTTCCCTGTGCCTTGCATGACCTTATTCAACCCTCAGAGCTTCCCCAGGAGACAGGCACTTGGAAACGGCTGGCTCTACATGTGAGGAAACGGAGGCTGGTAAAGCCACAGCCCATTCTGAAGATGGGTAGACTGAGGCAGTGAGGGTTGCTGTAGATGGCTGAGCCCAGACCAGTGAGGGTTGCTGTAGATGGCTTTACACGTGAGGAAACGGAGGCTGGTAGAAGGGATGCTGACTTGCCCAAGGTCACACTGTCCCTGAGGCAGAGCAGGCATTTGAACCCAGATTTGTCAGTGCAGAGCCCAAGACCTGAACTTCACCGAACGGGAGGCCGGCCCTGTGGGCCCAGCACGGCACCTGGAGAGGCAATAATCATCATAGCAACAGCAACAGCAGCCAATGCTGCTTCTATTGTATTAACTCATCCAATCCTCACCATTCAGAGGTGGGCACTAAGACACGGAGAGGTTGAGCCATTTGTCCAAGGTCGCGCTGATGGTAGATGTGAGTGAAATACGGAGGATTTTACCCCTGACCATCAGGTCTAGGTACTGTGCCCTAACGCTACACTATGCTGTCTCTTAGCAAATAGCAATCTCTCGATACTTTTGAAGGAATGAATAAACTTAGCCTCTGGCCTCCCTCCCCACCCCTCTAGCCTCCTCTGATGCCTCCTCCTCCTCTCAGCCTTCCTACCTCTCACCTTCTCTCCCCCACCTTTCTGGCCCATCCCTCCCTCCCCGCTGCCTCTGGCCTTTGCAGACCTCCCCCAATTTGGTCCATTTCCTCCCTCCTCATGCACTAGAACCTCTCTCTCTCTTATCCCCACCTTGACTCCTTCTGGTCTCCACCATTCCATTCACAGAAGGTCCCCAGGCCTCTGCCCCTCCCCGCTTCTCTGACAACCTTCTTGACGCGCTGGCTTGGCCCAGCTTAAAATGCTTTGCATTCTTCCTGCACATGTAGCATCTGGAAGGTGCCTGGAGCATGCCTTCCCTGCCATGGCCATAGGCGTGTATCTGCACAGCACTCTAGTTGACACGGGCGTTGTCTCATTTGATCACCACAGCAGCTTTGTGAGGTTGGATTATTATCAACCTTTTTCCAAATAAGAAAACTGAGGTTCAGAGCGGCTCAGTGACAAGCCCCGGGTCGTACCAAGGAAAGGGCAGTACCAAGGTCTGACTCCAGCCCAGGGTTCTTTTACTACACACACCACAGCTGCTCTCAGCCCAGGCCTCAGTTCTGCTGCCCAGCGTGGCCCCCAGTGGCCTCCCATCGCAGGTGGGAGGCACCGCCAGGCATCTTCTGCAGCCACCGCCAGGCATCTTCCCTAGGCCCAGCAGGAATCCTGCCCTGTTTGGCCTGGACACCTGCCTACAGGTACAGGACACCTGGACACAGACAAGGTGGTAGCCAGAGAGGAGGTGACTTGCTCAAGGTCACAGAGAAAGCTTGGAGCCGACCTGGAGTTCGGGGCAGGCACATTCCTGGGTCACCTTCAGGCCCCGCAGACACATGGCCACCAGCCAGCTGGCCCCAGCTCCCTTCCCTCCTGGAGCACCCCTCTCTCCCAGG